ACCATCAGAGTTCATAAAAATATTTTATAAAATTAAAACTGCATTGATTTTTGATGCATAGCTTTCAATAGCTGCATGGGTTTCAGCAAATGTAGAGAAAACACATCTAGATTCAGAAAAATCAAAGTTCATTATAACAGTATATAAGTCACCTCACTTTTAATAATAGTAAAAAAAAAAGTTACTTATATAGTTAGTAAATAAAATGCTTGTGTTATTAGGAAAAAAAATAAAAAATTACTCAACTAATAGAAATCTTTAAGTGATGTGTATTTGATTTAATTGTCGATCTACCAATCAGAATTTTGAATAGATGTTTAACAAACATAAATTTTTTAATAAAAAAATTAATCAATCAGAATTTTGATGTACACAATTTGATGTACAATAAAAAATGCCATTTCCTTTATGTTTGTTTTAGCATGTAGAAAGTGGTATTATATATTTATAGATTGTCAGGCGAAAGATACACGAATTATATACAATTATGACAAGACCAATACCCTTTTCTATGCAAAAAGACTTGGACCAAACTTTATTAGCGTATAGTTCAAATTATAATAGCTAAAGATGATATAATTTCTTGTGATTTTATTCAAAGGCTGCTAATGCATTTTGGATCATATTGGGGTGCCAGTAGTGATTTGCAATATGCATGACATGCGTGCATGATCATGCATATGATTTTATATATACTCATAATGCTGGTAAAGCAATATAATGCTGGCAGAATATCTAGTACTATGCACAGATTTATTAAAATAGTAGATTAGTGTGAATTCTATATGTATTAACTTATTGATGTTCAAATTTGTTTATTATTACAATCTTATATATTTAATATATATATATAAAACTTTATTTATTATGAAGCCACTATAATACTAGGTGGAATTTTTAATATATTTTGGAATATTCCGAAACTCATAAAAGATTCCAAAAAATTCCCATGTAATTTCATATGCACGACCAGCATCAAAAATATAAATTGTTTTGTCTCTCATACACTTGTTATTAACTACTAAAAATATATAGGTTTTATTCCTTGCACGTCGAGCATCACATGCAAATTTTAAAGAATCGAAAACGATATTATTATTATCATTTCATCAATTTTTTTTTTTATTTATATGAATTCTGAAATGACTATCGTTCTGACAAGTCACAACTAGTTAATAATACTGTGCTGACTTGGATAACAAAACCAATAATAAACTTTTTTATGACTGTCATCATAACAGGCCATCAATTTACAACTTCAGATTGAACGAATTAATACTTTTCTAATAGATACGGGAAGGGTGAAAGGGATCAAGAAAACCAGACTAAAAGTCAGGTTCGCAAAAGAAATAGAGTTATTTCTAACTTTATTCATTACAATGCTTAAATACTAAAATCTAATAAACTCAAATATGTCAATATTACTACTCCAATTTACTAATCTCAATAATTACTTCATAATTACACTGATCAATACTAATCACCATTATTACCATATAATTATAGTAGTCTAATTTATTACACACAAGATCAAAAATACTAAGCCATGTCATTCATATGACTATAATAGGGCATGTCACATGCCTGGTTATAGGCTGATTCAAAACAAAAGCTGCCTCAATACTATCATATCAAGCAGCTCTATTGTTTTGTCTCTCATATGCTTATTGTTAACTACTAAAAATATACAGGTACATACTTGCAGAGTATCATCCCTTAATTGGCACTCCTGCTTCTCATTATCAATCATTCCTTTATTTATTCATTTGATAAAATTCAAACCTAAATACTTACTAATCTTCTTTCTTTTCTTTCTATAACTCTTACTTTCTTCTTTTTCTTTTTTAAAACATATTAAAAACCCATAATACTAAAAGCACCTAAATCTGCTGTATCTACTGCTCTAATATACAACCTAACATCATCAGAGACCCATCCACCAATCATTTAGATTTGCTCTAAGGAAAGGACCCCTTTTATCATCACTATAACACCACCAATCCTCAAACTATGTGTTGTAAACCTCCTTTCAAATTTGGTATGAGCTGCTATATGCTTAACAACAGCCAATACTGCTGAAACAGACATTTTATAACCTGTTTTAGACAAAAAAAGAGGAGCATTCTCATTCGATACTGGTCTAACTTTAATATACTCCTCCACCAACCCTACTGGACAGAACTTGCTGTTCAATCTTTTCACAGAAATGAATTTTTCTCTTGCAAGCTGGTCCATCTTAGACTTATTAATGTGGACCCACAACAAACCATCAACCTACTTAAGGTCTTTCATTCTCAAGTTACAAAGCTCACCTGGGCACCTTATCATTCTTAAACCTAAAGCCATTAATGAAAGATCCCTAATCCAATATTCGTAAGAAACCCCTTCTGAAGAAAAAAGAAAATAATAATTTATTGTCTCCACCAGTAAAGAGTCTCTAGGCCAAACCGCTTCTGCGTTATGTGTTACCCATTTCTTTACACTATTGACCAAATATTGAATGTGCTGTTCCTAGTTGGATCTGGTAAACCTCTCAACCTATGTAATCTAGAAATTGCTGTTAAAAAACCAACTATCTCTAAACTATGACCTGCCATTTCTAATCAAGTTACGAAGGCCATTATCATCATGTATAAGGCTGGGCACGAGACATGATACATCTTGCTAGCAAAATCTTCAAAGACCAATCATGCTCTTCTTAACCTTTTTCTGTATGCTTCACTAATTGCATTATCAACTAGAAACTCAGCCCAATCTAATAACACATATACTAATCTATTCAAATTGCTCTCAGGTGCCAATTCAGATTGTTGCATGGCTCCAGGAAGCATGATAAGCCTGGCAAGACAATTTCTGCTGGTTGCAGAAGATCTACTTCTTCTCTCTGAATGTTCACAACAATTGACCACCATGAAGCCACAACCCAGATAGAAATAATAATTACTATGAAAGCTTTGCATTCTCTCACATGAACTAAAGCCCAATGAATCATTGAAAATAGGAAGCACAAATAGTTTACCATGCCCTGCCAGTCCTGAGTAAAACAGTCAACTGCTTCCAACTCTGAACAGAAATGCAGACTGTTGAACCTTACCAATTTCATATTCAGATGATCTGCAAATCTGTCCACTTTAAATCTTCCTTAACGAGTCTCTAATTTTACAACTATTTCTGTCTTCATAGACCAATCTCTTAAGTCTCTTATCCTGAAAAATGTATCGGCTAGATTTTGTTTGCTGGGAACCTACAGAGTTTGAAAAATTTCTACATCCTTTTCTAAACACAACCTCCACACTTCGCACACAATATCCTTCTGCCAATCTAGTGGTCCTCTGCCTATCACCATTTTCAATGCCACTTTGTTGTCTATCATTAGCATTACAAATGATCTTGACAAAAGGTCTCCAAACACCTGAAGAATCTGTTGAACAGTAATTGGCTCCAATTGCATTATCAGATTTGCTGTGAGCCTGTAAGACCAACAACCTTTTGCTATCTGACCATTGAACACTCTGCACCAACCCATCAATGAAACATCTACAAAAACCACCTTTACTTTTGACAGTTTCCAAGCCAGGCAACCATTTCAAGTCTCAAATTTTCTACTAACCACTCTACATCTTCTATTGCCTAAGGAGACAATCTTACCATCTTGTCCTATTCACTTCACAGATGATTCTTCATATCTATTAACTTGTAAAATTCTAAACTCTTCACTTTTGCTAAGAAGAATGCTCTTGACAAGCTCTGAATCTTTTCCACAATTGATGCTAGTTCCCTTGCTAGAACTGATGATCTCTCTAGTAGATTCTCTAACCAACCTATCACAGCAACAATCTTCTCTTCTGGAATGATAACTACATCCTTTACTAAGTCGATAATGAGGCCACAAAACTTGGGCTTCTGAGTCAGAATTCAATTACCCTTCTCTTCCATGCGGATCCAACCACAACCCCTTAAATCTGCCTCTATGACCTCCTTCTATTGCTTTAAAAGCATCTCCTTTGATGGATGTGCTATTCACACATTATCCAGATAGTTTTTACAGAAAATTCCTCATGCTCTCCAGCTTCCCACCATGGCTTTCATAATCTTTGCAAATATCCATAAGAACTGCCTGAGGCCAAAAGAAAGAACTCTGTAGAAATACTATTTCTTGTTCATGATGAACCCAAAGAATCTTTGTGTTATATCATCCATCATTACATGATAATATCCCTCTTTCAAGTCAAAAGTTATAACCTACCAAGCTTTTCCTACTGTCTGCAAAAGAGACCTTGTGCCTTCGAACTTGAAAGACTTCTTCAAAAGAGTTGCATTTAACCTTCTAAGGTCTATTATTAGCCTGAATTTCTTTTTTCCTTGCTTCAGAACAAGAAAGACAGGGCTCACTTTCAGTAAAAACTCCAGCCTCAAATCACCCTCACCCACAAAACCTACTGCCCCTGTCTTGCATAAATGATTTAACACTTAATCTATTCATAAGTTTTCTTCCATCGAAAATGCCTAGAATTTGGCACCTGTTGTCCTATTAACTTCATAACTCCCCTTGAAAATAACAAATTTTTCTTTCCAGCCAACCTATAACAATCGGGGCTGGTTTTATAACTTCTCTCCAATACTGGACAGCCGAAACCGAATATAACCTCCTCGTAACTTCCTGACTCTCTCTCACCTCCTGGGTCAAACTTTTTTGTGTTATCACACCCAAAGCGTAGTCAGCTTCTTTTTGGTTTTGACCCATCTCTCCGAAAAGGCATATTTAAGTGCTTTCTAGAACCACACTCATTGGCATAATGCTCTTTGCCTTCACATAAAAAACAAACTACATCTCTCGACCTGATTCTACCATTAGCACCTGAATTACTAACCGATTGCTGAACCTTGCCATGACTAAGTTGTATCTGTGGGCTATGTGCTAAATTCTGAGAGAAGCTATCTTGAGATACTTGCTGATCCAAAACATTTGGGTTGCTCCCATACTGAGAGCCAGGACTATTCTACTGCTCTCCAAAACTAACAGGACCAGATCCCATTGCCTGGAAAGGAGCCTGATGCCACAACAGTTGTACAAATGGTTGAGGCTGAACCAATGTAGGCAAAAGAGGCTGTACTCCCTGAAAAAACGGCGTTTGCACTTGCTTATCTTGAAGCTCATATCTGGTGAAACTTTGTTCTTGCGCCATTCTAGGTCTCTTACTCTTAGAAAACGAAAACCGTTGTGCAGCCAGTCTAGCTTTATCTCATTTACCACCAAACAACTCAGCCATTGGATCATTATCGCCAGAGGCCATCTTCGCCACCACATTCCAACCATCTTCATCGGCAACCGTAACTATATATGCCCTCTCAAGTGCAACCTGCCTTGCCAAGTGAACATACTCTATATCTCCAGACAACAAAACCTTGTCCAAGAGCGAACCAGCTTTGCACTATTCATTATACTCCCATTGATTCCTGGCCTTCGAAAGTTCATGTCTCTTCCAAACACCTTCATTCACTTCACAAGAACCTAGAGTTTTATTCGGGAACCAAGCGGTTTGTTGATATTGATCATTACCTAATGTATTCGAGACAAACCTTTTTTCCCCAGGTCTAACATCACCCGTACTACTAGTAGAACCAGCCACTGGCTCAAAAAGTGAAGAACCAACACTGCCAAACATAGGTGCGGAAGCACCCTCACCACTAGCAAAAGCCTTATTCTTCTCATTGGAAGCGTCACCAGACACTTCCCTTCTCTTACTCTCGCTAACCAAACGATTAACCAGATCCTGTTTAGAACCCGATTCAGCAATCTCCAACTCATGACACAAGAACCTCAACACATCGACCGACATACGACCAAAATTGGTTTCAAAATTAGCCTGGACGCTTTTCTGTACTACTTTACAATCACTACTAAACGAGGACGCACGATCATCCAAAATTTTGTTATCAACATTTTGAACCTGTTTTTCTTTATTAGGATTTTCTTTATTAGGATTTTCTTTATTGACATTCATTTACTAGGATTTTGCTCGACAAAGCCAGACTAAAAGTCGGGTTCGCAAAAGAAATAGAGTTATTTCTAACTCTATTCATTTCAATGCTTAAATACTAAAATCTAATAAACTCAAATACGTCAATATTACTACTCTAATTTACTAATCTCAATAATTACC